AAGGGTTAGGGCAGTCAGGGAACAGGTAGGATCCTAGGGGGGCAGTTAGGGTGGGGAGTTCTCAGGAGGGGGCAGTCAGGGGACAAGAAGCAGGGTGGCTTAGATAGGCGGTGGGGTCCTAGGGTGCAGTTAGTGGCAGGGGTCCCAGGAGGGGGCAGTCAGGGGACAAGGAGTGAGGGGGGTTGGGGGTTCTGAGGGGGGCAGTCAGGGGGTGGGAAGTGGGAGGGAGTGGATGGGGGTGGGGTAGGGCAGGGGCGGGGGTAGAGTGGGGCTCCTTCCCCCCCCCCCCCGTGTCCTCTTTTTTGCTTGTGGAAATATGGTAACCCTATCTGTGCTAGACGCAGGAAGGAACAGCACAATGGAACAGTTGCAGCCTATTGTTAAACGTATACCTACAACCCTAAAATAAAGACTTTGAAGAGAATAAGGAAAACAGGGAAGAATACAAGCAGTGCAATAATTCTGGATAAATGTTCATGAGAATTCTACTTGGATGCCTCTTAAATAAATATCTATGAAAAGTGCTAAGTGATAAGAGGGAGATGGTATTATTATTATTACCTGAAAACATATTTGAATGAAAATAATTTAATAGGAAATGCTCATTTATATGTCAATTGACCCCATTAACTATATGAAAAACGGGGCTTCCTGGGAAAGTACAAACCATTTCCTCTTTCTTACCACGCTATGGCTGTTAAGGCTACCTTAACATTCAGTGCTAAATGTACACTTCAAAGTAAGATTTTAAGGAAATAAACCAATCCTACACAAAACCCAATCTATTCCCACCCTGCTGTGATTCCATGATGTTTACTTGATCTTGCTCAGAGAAATGGAGCAGGTTCCCAGAATGACGTGTCGCTAGGATACCTTCCAAGCTTATGTCTCTTGTGCTGTTGTGTGATGCTTTGCATCTACCGGCTATTGGCACAAAACAGAGAGAGAAAAAGAAGGGAATGACAGGCAGAGAAGCATGTACAGATATAAAAAGCATGAGTATTTATGAAGCAAAAGGAGAATTAGACTAGAAATTGCTGCACCTTGAAGTGCAGTATTGCAAGGTAAACAATTCTTTTAGACAATGTTGAAAATTTCAGATCTGTATTGGAAATTTCAGATCAATGACAGGACAAAGCCACCAGACTGCAAAGAAAGGGGCACAGTGAGGGAGAAAAATAGTAAATGAATTGTTGTACCAATCAATGTACCTGCTTCTCGACATTTTTAATTAATAGTGGATCAAATCTTTAAGGTGCACATGCAAAAGTGTGTGTGCTAAATCTCATTACACTCACAAGGTCTGGGTTTGCATATATGCATATATCTACAGTCATTCACTTACATACCTCTGTGATGGGCACACATTCTACATACAGAGGGTGGATACAAATAAATTAGATTGGCTAGACAGGAAGATAAGCAGAAGAGGCCAGAGAAGAATTGTATGGTCACCTGTACTCCTTACTTTCAGGTATTTGTGAGTTTAAGTCAAACCTTAATGACATATGAATATTTATTTCATATTTAGTGTTCAACAGAACTACCCATTAAGCAGGCCCATTATCAATACTTTCTATATTATACTCACTTCTATTGCGTACACCACTGCAGTCCTGGACGGTGAAAGGGACTTGCTGGAAGGCCGTGATGGTTAAAGCATGGTTTCAGTGCAGCCCTACCAGTTCCTCAGAGGTCCAAACATCTAAAAGAGCTGGGGGAGTTTCTGCACAGCTTACAAAGGAAGCATGAGGCCCAAGTTCCGTGTTTTATATCTTGATATCTAACTAGGTACTTATATGGCCGCTATCACTATAGC